ACACTTTGACCTTACATTAAGTTACATGTAAACTGCGGATCATTCACCGTGAAGATGACAGTCCCGCAGGGTACTGTGCTTGCTCCAGTACTCTTCCTCATCCCCATATTAGACACAGACGAGGACACAGCCTATAGTACTGTACCATCCTCTGCTGATGACACTGACGAGTGTTATGACAGTACACAATATAGACGTGACAGTAAACACGACAAAAGAGTGATGTCAAAAGACAGTCAAAGAGTGATGTCAAAGAGTGATGTTGATGTCAAGAGTGATGAGTGATGTCATGTCAAGAGTGATGTTGGTGTGACCGACAAAAGAGTGATGTCAAAGAGTGATGTTGATGTCAAGAGTGATGAGTGATGTCATGTCAAGAGTGATGTTGGTGTGACCGACAAAAGAGTGATGTCAAAAGACAGTCAAAACTTGCTGTCAAAAGACAGCAAGTTTGTGACAGCAAACTTCCAAACTCATGTAAATCAGGGGCCAGATTCACGAAAGCACTTACGCAAGCACTTAAATACCTGAACATCTTATCTCAATCTTTGGCGGCTTTGTTTCCAATTATTAAACAGTTAACGAGCTCCGAAGCACCAGGAGGCTGTTTATAACAATAACAACAGTTGATTGGCAAGTTTTCCTGCTTGTAAACTGTTTAATAAATGTAACCAAAGCCGTCAAAGATTGAGGAAAGATGTACACGTTCGTAAGTGCTTGCGTAACTGCTTCGTGAATCTGGCCCCAGGACACTGTTGCTGGTGGGGCTGTTGTTGTCAACACTGTTGCTGGTGGGCCTGTTGTTGTTGTCAACACTGTTGCCGGTGGGGCTGCTGTTGTTGACACTGTTGCTGGTGGGGCTGCTGTTGTTGACACTGTTGCTGTTGCTGTTGTCAACACTGTTGCTGGTGGGGCTGCTGTTGTCAACACTGTTGTTGGTGGTGCTGTTGTCAACACTGTTGCTGGTGGTGCTGTTGTTGTTGTCAACACTGTTGCCGGTGGGGCTGTTGTTGTTGTCAACACTGTTGCCGGTGGGGCTGTTGTTGTTGTCAACACTGTTGCTGGTGGGCCTGTTGTTGTTGTCAACACTGTTGCTGGTGGGCCTGTTGTTGTTGTCAACACTGTTGCTGGTGGTGCTGTTGTTGTCAACACTGTTGCTGGTGGGCCTGTTGTTGTTGTCAACACTGTTGCTGGTGGTGCTGTTGTTGTCAACACTGTTGCTGGTGGGCCTGTTGTTGTCAACACTGTTGCTGGTGGTGCTGTTGTTGTTGTCAACACTGTTGCTGGTGGGCCTGTTGTTGTTGTCAACACTGTTGCTGGTGGTGCTGTTGTTGTTGTCAACACTGTTGCTGGTGGTGCTGTTGTTGTTGACACTGTTGCTGGTGGTGCTGTTGTTGTTGTCAACACTGTTGCTGGTGGTGCTGTTGTTGTTGACACTGTTGCTGGTGGTGCTGTTGTTGTTGACACTGTTGCTGGTGGTGCTGTTGTTGTTGTCAACACTGTTGCTGGTGGTGCTGTTGTTGTTGTCAACACTGTTGCTGGTGGTGCTGTTGTTGTCAACACTGTTGCCGGTGGGGCTGTTGTTGTCAACACTGTTGCTGGTGGTGCTGTTGTTGTTGTCAACACTGTTGCTGGTGGTGCTGTTGTTGTTGTCAACACTGTTGCTGGTGGTGCTGTTGTTGTTGACACTGTTGCTGGTGGTGCTGTTGTTGTTGTCAACACTGTTGCTGGTGGTGCTGTTGTTGTTGACACTGTTGCTGGTGGTGCTGTTGTTGTTGACACTGTTGCTGGTGGTGCTGTTGTTGTTGTCAACACTGTTGCTGGTGGTGCTGTTGTTGTTGTCAACACTGTTGCTGGTGGTGCTGTTGTTGTCAACACTGTTGCCGGTGGGGCTGTTGTTGTCAACACTGTTGCTGGTGGTGCTGTTGTTGTTGTCAACACTGTTGCTGGTGGGCCTGTTGTTGTTGTCAACACTGTTGCTGGTGGTGCTGTTGTTGTCAACACTGTTGCTGGTGGTGCTGTTGTTGTCAACACTGTTGCTGGTGGGCCTGTTGTTGTTGTCAACACTGTTGCCGGTGGGGCTGTTGTTGTCAACACTGTTGCTGGTGGTGCTGTTGTTGTTGTCAACACTGTTGCTGGTGGGCCTGTTGTTGTTGTCAACACTGTTGCTGGTGGTGCTGTTGTTGTCAACACTGTTGCTGGTGGGCCTGTTGTTGTTGTCAACACTGTTGCTGGTGGTGCTGTTGTTGTCAACACTGTTGCTGGTGGGCCTGTTGTTGTTGTCAACACTGTTGCTGGTGGTGCTGTTGTTGTCAACACTGTTGCTGGTGGTGCTGTTGTTGTCAACACTGTTGCTGGTGGGCCTGTTGTTGTTGTCAACACTGTTGCTGGTGGTGCTGTTGTTGTCAACACTGTTGCTGGTGGGCCTGTTGTTGTTGTCAACACTGTTGCTGGTGGTGCTGTTGTTGTCAACACTGTTGCTGGTGGGCCTGTTGTTGTTGTCAACACTGTTGCTGGTGGTGCTGTTGTTGTCAACACTGTTGCTGGTGGGCCTGTTGTTGTTGTCAACACTGTTGCTGGTGGTGCTGTTGTTGTTGTCAACACTGTTGCTGGTGGTGTTGTTGTTGTCAACACTGTTGCTGGTGGGGCTGTTGTTGTCAACACTGTTGCTGGTGGTGCTGTTGTTGTCAACACTGTTGCTGGTGGTGTTGTTGTTGTCAACACTGTTGCTGGTGGGGCTGTTGTTGTCAACACTGTTGCTGGTGGTGCTGTTGTTGTCAACACTGTTGCTGGTGGTGCTGTTGTTGTTGTCAACACTGTTGCTGGTGGTGCTGTTGTTGTTGTCAACACTGTTGCTGGTGGGCCTGTTGTTGTTGTCAACACTGTTGCTGGTGGTGCTGTTGTCAACACTGTTGCTGGTGGTGCTGTTGTCAACACTGTTGCTGGTGGTGCTGTTGTTGACACTGTTGCTGGTGGTGCTGTTGTTGACACTGTTGCTGGTGGTGCTGTTGTTGTCAACACTGTTGCTGGTGGGGCTGTTGTTGTCAACACTGTTGCTGGTGGGGCTGTTGTTGTCAACACTGTTGCTGGTGGTGCTGTTGTTGTCAACACTGTTGCTGGTGGTGCTGTTGTTGTCAACACTGTTGCTGGTGGTGCTGTTGTTGTTGTCAACACTGTTGCTGGTGGTGCTGTTGTTGTTGTCACTGTTGCTGGTGGTGCTGTTGTTGTCAACACTGTTGCTGGTGGGGCTGTTGTTGTCAACACTGTTGCTGGTGGGGCTGTTGTTGTCAACACTGTTGCTGGTGGGGCTGTTGTTGTCAACACTGTTGCTGGTGGGGCTGTTGTTGTCAACACTGTTGCTGGTGGTGCTGTTGTTGTTGTCAACACTGTTGCTGGTGGGGCTGCTGTTGTTGACACTGTTGCTGGTGGGGCTGTTGTTGTCAACACTGTTGCTGGTGGGGCTGTTGTTGTCAACACTGTTGCTGGTGGGGCTGTTGTTGTTGTCAACACTGTTGCTGGTGGGGCTGTTGTTGTCAACACTGTTGCTGGTGGGGCTGCTGTTGTTGACACTGTTGCTGTTGGTGCTGTTGTTAACACTGTTGCTGGTGGTGCTGTTGTTAACACTGTTGCTGGTGGTGCTGTTGTTGTCAACACTGTTGCTGGTGGTGCTGTTGTTGTCAACACTGTTGCTGGTGGTGCTGTTGTTGTCAACACTGTTGCTGGTGGTGCTGTTGTTGTCAACACTGTTGCTGGTGGTGCTGTTGTTGTCAACACTGTTGCTGGTGGTGCTGTTGTTGTCAACACTGTTGCTGGGGGGGGGGGCTGCCGTTGTTGTTGACCAATTAGCTGGAGTATTGACTAGTGAGAGTTACCCCTGCACCAACTACACTTGCACCCACCATTAATGGCCGCCAATTAGTCGCCAACTGGTGAGGGTTCCAATATTCGACATCAGTCATCGCCAACTGTACCAAATTTTAACAAAAGTTATTATGATTCTGTAACCTGTCTGGGACTTAAGATTTTACAGTAAGATCTGCGGTTGTGAGTTATAATTGGTTGTTAAAGGGTGTTTAAAGTCCCCAGTTTGCCAATTAGGTTAAACTGTATCTCTGTCTTGTGTGCAGGTTTGGGACCAGTTCTTCTAATAATATCCAACGTGTAGATTGGAATTTTTCATTTGCAGTCGTGACACCTACTTTACTGTGTTGCTTAAAAGTGAAGTCTTCTGACATGATTACTCCCAGATCTTTTACAATGCCTTTTCTTTCAATAGTGTGATGTTATTGTGTAATATATGTGGTTTCTGCTATGATGTTTTTGCGTTTTCCAAAGCTCAGTAATTGGAACTTATCCACATTAAACATCGTGTTATCTTCTGTGGCCCATTAAAAGACTTTATTAACATCAGGATGGTTGTTTGTCGTGTCCTCTACATTGTCTAATCGCATGAAAATCCCAGTGTCATCTGCAAACGATGATAAAATACTGTAGTTTGTATTCTAGTCTATGATATAAGGATGAGGAACAGTACCGGAGCAAGCACAGTACCCTGGGGACTGCGCCTTTCATGGTAGATGATTCAGAAGTTACTGTGTTGACGTTAAGTTTGTTATGAAGTTGAAGATCTATCTCCCTTCTATGCTAGTAATTCCTTTTGAACCCACTTTGTGAGCAAGACCATCATGGCCACACTTGTAGAAAGCTTTTTCCGAAATCTGTATATATTAAATCTGCGTTCTGTCCGTCTTCCGTGGCATCTAAGGTCATGTCAAAGTACGCCACCAATTATGAGAGAGCGGGGCGCCCTGTTCTGAACCCCATGGTGCCCCTGCTAGTGTCTTGATCCATTAAACAGAAAGACTGAAACAAATGGCCAGAGTTTGTTTCACCCTGATGTCAACCAATCAGTTGATTGACAGTTGAGAGGCGGGCTCAAAGAGGCAGAGCTCAACCTCCCACAAGCACACCTAGGTGACTTGTCGCCAGACTGGGAAAGCATGGCAACACGCCCAGCAGCAGACAAGCGGCTCGGCCAGCCTGCAGAGGGCGAGCAACACGCCCAGCAGCAGACAAGCGGCTCGGCCAGCCTGCAGAGGGCGAGCAACACGCCCAGCAGCAGACAAGCGGCTCGGCCAGCCTGCAGAGGGCGAGCAACACGCCCAGCAGCAGACAAGCGGCTCGGCCAGCCTGCAGAGGGCGAGCAACACGCCCAGCAGCAGACAAGCGGCTCGGCCAGCCTGCAGAGGGCGAGCAACACGCCCAGCAGCAGACAAGCGGCTCGGCCAGCCTGCAGAGGGCGAGCAACACGCCCAGCAGCAGACAAGCGGCTCGGCCAGCCTGCAGAGGGCGAGCAACACGCCCAGCAGCAGACAAGCGGCTCGGCCAGCCTGCAGAGGGCGAGCAGACACACAGACGCATCGCGATGAAACAGATCTGTATAGCCCTAACGTATCTATAGATTTCCAACTGGAAATGTCAGAGGATGGAGGAGGAGGCGGGGGGGAGGGAGGTCACTAGGATCAACAACCAATAGGGGGGGCAACCCGCTCTCACACAAGACAGTACATATATGACTTAGTGCTTATAGTCAATATTTGGCTTATTAATAAGCATATATGTGGTATATTTCAAGTTATATTTTGTTTTCAAGGTACAAACTCTTCCTACCGATTAGCCAAACATCAGTTTTAATATTAGGAATTTCTTTTTAATTTTATTAAACAATAGAGATTTATACAACCTTTGACAATAACCTGAGTTACTTTACAATTTATTTAAAAAATTTAGTTTTGTTTTATTATTTTTATAAAACTGTAATATCAATATATAGGTTAAGTACTAATTGTAATTAAGAAGCAAAAAAATGTTTATGTTAACATACTAAGAAGGTTAGGTTAGGTCGGTGTTTTCTATTCAGCTTTTCAAGGTAAACTCAAGTATTCACAATAAATTAGTATGTCACATATGCACTTATTAATAAGCCAAATATTAACTATAAGCAAGTACGAGATCGGGTTGAGGGGGAATGTAAAGGGGAGGGGGGGGGGCACTAGGACTAACAACCAATAGGGGGGGGGGGGGTTATAGGCTTAGGGGTGAAACCAATCAGAAGAGCGCTGACTGGCACACAGTCTCTCTGTGATGTGATAATCACTTCCAATGGCCGTGAAATATAATCCCCAGTGATTTGCCTACCCGGAGATGACATCCCTGTTGCCACACTGACATCATTGTTGCCATACTGACATCATTGTTGCCATACTGACATCCCTGTTGCCATACTGACATCCCTGTTGCCATACTGACATCCCTGTTGCCATACTGACATCATTGTTGCCATACTGACATCCCTGTTGCCATACTGACATCCCTGTTGCTATACTGACATCCCTGTTGCCATACTGACATCCCTGTTGCCACACTGACATCCCTGTTGCTATACTGACATCCCTGTTGCCATACTGACATCCCTGTTGCCACACTGACATCCCTGTTGCTATACTGACATCCCTGTTGCCATACTGACATCCCTGTTGCCATACTGACATCCCTGTTGCCACACTGACATCCCTGTTGCCATACTGACATCCCTGTTGCCACACTGACATCCCTGTTGCTATACTGACATCCCTGTTGCCATACTGACATCCCTGTTGCCATACTGACATCCCTGTTGCCACACTGACATCCCTGTTGCTATACTGACATCCCTGTTGCCATACTGACATCCCTGTTGCCATACTGACATCCCTGTTGCCATACTGACATCCCTGTTGCCATACTGACATCCCTGTTGCCATACTGACATCCCTGTTGCCATACTGACATCATTGGTGCCATACTGACATCCCTGTTGCCATACTGACATCATTGGTGCCATACTGACATCCCTGTTGCCATACTGACATCCCTGTTGCCACACTGACATCATTGTTGCCACACTGACATCATTGTTGCCATACTGACATCCCTGTTGCCACACTGACATCCCTGTTGCCATACTGACATCCCTGTTGCCATACTGACATCATTGTTGCCATACTGACATCCCTGTTGCCACACTGACATCCCTGTTGCCATACTGACATCATTGTTGCCATACTGACATCCCTGTTGCCATACTGACATCCCTGTTGCCATACTGACATCCCTGTTGCCACACTGACATCCCTGTTGCCACACTGACATCCCTGTTGCCATACTGACATCCCTGTTGCCATACTGACATCCCTGTTGCCATACTGACATCCCTGTTGCTATACTGACATCCCTGTTGACATACTGACATCCCTGTTGCCACACTGACATCCCTGTTGCTATACTGACATCCCTGTTGCCATACTGACATCCCTGTTGCCATACTGACATCCCTGTTGCCATACCAACTCCACTGGTGCCATACTTACACAACTGGTGTTACATGGTATTGCACCACTGAGCACTCGTCAGTAAAACGTCACCCGTCAATAAAAACGTCACCCGTCAATAAAAAACGTCACCCGTCAATAAAAAACGTCACCCGTCAATAAAAAACGTCACCCGTCAATAAAAAACGTCACCCGTCAATAAAAAACGTCACCCGTCAATAAAAAACGTCACCCGTCAATAAAAAACGTCACCCGTCAACAAAAAACGTCACCCGTCAATAAAAACGTCACCCGTCAATAAAAACGTCACCCGTCAATAAAAAACGTCACCCGTCAACAAAAAACGTCACCCGTCAACAAAAAACGTCACCCGTCAACAAAAAACGTCACCCGTCAACAAAAAACGTCACCCGTCAACAAAAAACGTCACCCGTCAACAAAAAACGTCACCCGTCAACAAAAAACGTCACCCGTCAATAAAAAACGTCACCCGTCAATAAAAAACGTCACCCGTCAATAAAAAACGTCACCCGTCAATAAAACGTCACCCGTCAATAAAAACGTCACCCGTCAATAAAAAACGTCACCCGTCAATAAAAAACGTCACCCGTCAATAAAAAACGTCACCCGTCAATAAAAAACGTCACCCGTCAATAAAAAACGTCACCCGTCAATAAAAAACGTCACCCGTCAATAAAAACGTCACCCGTCAATAAAAAACGTCACCCGTCAATAAAAACGTCACCCGTCAATAAAAAACGTCACCCGTCAATAAAAAACGTCACCCGTCAATAAAAAACGTAACCCGTTTAGAAATATAGACAAAAAATATACCCATAGTGCCAGGATATATTTTTTCTTAGTTTTCAGGTAAAAATGTGCCGATGGAGAGAAAAAAAAATGACTTTTTTTGAGTCAAAAGCGAATCGCTTGTCAGTGGAAGTGTGTTCCAGAGGCTTCGGGGGGTGAGGTGGGGGGGGGGGGGGGTATTCGCGCGTCAAGCAGACTGCACATTTTGCGTCACGCACGAAGTATTTCATATTTTCATCAAGCAAGAAGCACATTTCCCCATTTATTACCGCTGAATTCGGACAGACAATTCTCAGAAAGCTATAACAGCCTATTTTATTACAGGAGTCTTTATGGAATGGTAAGTTCCTTCCTTTCCCCTCCCCCTCCCTCTTCCTCATGGTGAGGTAGTTATGAGGGGAAAGTAATATAAGCCATTACGGAGAGACAGATGCCAGCTTCGGCCGCCATCTTGAAAAAAAATGGCGCCGAAAATGTGTTTTTTTTTGTCAAACATTTCGTTTTCTGTCAGTTTTAAGGTCAACCTATATAAATAAAAATGGAAATGTTCGTTTGTTCAAAATCGCTAATCTTCTTAAGTTCTTCACCGATTGCTTTGAAATTTTCACACAACGTTCCTTTGGCATCCGGCCAGGTTTTTATACACATACTATATAGATGTCACGTCTATGACGGATAAAATACATGCTTTTTCTGAAAAACTTTGTTTTTCATGTGTTCACGTGAAGGAAATCTTTGAAACCTCTTTACCGACTGTTTTGAAATGTTGACACAACGTTGCACTCGAATAGGCGCGTCTTTTTATATATCTACTATATACATGCCTCACCTGTGACAGGAAAAAACATGGTTTTTTTTTTTAAAACAGCGCCATCTGTTGGACGTAAGGGCAACACATGCTGTAATCTCAAAAAGTTCTTCACCGATTGCTTTGAAATTTTGATACAACGTTGCATTTGAATAGGCGCGTCTTTTCATATACCTACTATATCGATGCCACCCCTGTGACAGATAAAAACATGCGTTTCTTAAAAACAGCGCCATCTGTTGCACATAATAGCAACATGCACGGTATACTAAATATGTCACAAATTCCATTTCAATGTTTCCGATTGCATTGATATATTTTATTTTCATAGATTTCGATATATTTAATTTTTTATTGAATTATTATGTGTGACATTGTGTTGGAATTGAGCTGTGTTGTTTACCATACTATTCATTTCGTAAGTATAAGTATAGATGCCACACCTGTGACAGGTAAAACTATGCTTTTCTTGAAAAACAGCGCCATCTGTTGCATGTAAGAGCAATGCACATGCTATACTAAATATGTTACAATTCCATTTCAGCGTTTCTGATTGCATTGATAGGTTGAATTTTCATAGATTTTGATTTACTTTCATTTTGATTTAATTATTTTGTGTGAATTGCATTGGAATTGAGCTGTTGTTTACCATACCGTTCACTTCGTGAGTATAGTTTTTTTTTCTTATTTTCAATTCATTTTTTAAGTTTTTTTTTATTTCAGTGATGGGAACATCAGATCACTTGATGTTCCCAATGTTCTGAAGGGAACATCAGACCATTTGGGAAGGCATCGGACGAGGGAGTGGGGAATGGTGGGGATGACGAGGGAATGGAAGTAAGTGATACCGGGTTGATACCTGGTTGATGGGGTTCTGGGAGTTCTTCTACTCCCCAAGCCCGGCCCGAGGCCAGACTTGACTTGTGAGAGTTTGGTCCACCAGGCTGTTGCTTGGAGCGGCCCGCAGGCCCACATACCCACCACAGCCCGGTTGGTCCGGCACTCCTTGGAGGAAACAATCTAGTTTCCTCTTGAAGATGTCCACGGTTGTTCCGGCAATATTTCTGGTGCTCGCTGGGAGGACGTTGAACAACCGCGGACCTCTGATGTTTATACAGTGTTCTCTGATTGTGCCTATGGCACCTCTGCTCTTCACTGGTTCTATTCTGCATTTTCTTCCATATCGTTCACTCCAGTACGTTGTTATTTTACTGTGTATATTTGGGACCTGACCCTCCAGTATTTTCCACGTTTATATTATTTGGTATCTCTCTCGTCTCCTTTCTAGAGAGTACATTTGGAGAGATGGTGGGAGGACGAGGGGACAAGGGAGGGGGTAATGATGGGGACGGACAAGGGGACGGGGGAGAGTTTGGGATGGTGGGGATGAGGGGATGGGGGAGTGGGGAATGGTGGGGAGGCCGAAAAGACGGGTGAGGGGGAAATGGTGGGGAGGACTGGGGGACAGGGAAGGTTGCTGAGCCACAGCAACGCGTGGCCGGGCACTGCTAGTAGGTAATGAAATAGGTTCTATGGATAGGTAATGGGTTCTGAGTAAAAATATTCAAGTAATGCGACTTGTTCCACAAGAACTAGTCCGTCCAGGACACCGAAACAACGCTTCCCATTGGCCTTGAAGCAATATGAATCTGTTGACAGCACTTGTCTTGAACTAGGATGTGTTGCATG